TTACTGATGCATTGGCTGATATTTTCAAGTTTCTGGTTTGGAATGACCGTGGCATTAACATCGATGGCGAGTACTTAATACACCCCTACTTTACCGATGACATTAAAAGATTTGAATTGTTTCCCGAAGAGTGGGTCTTAAGATGAGCATGGATAAGACGAAAGTCATATCGAATGTACATGTTGTCTAGGTAAAATTTGGAACGTTCGGGCTTCATTCTCGATTGGGCCCTTGTAGAAAACAAACTTTCTACTTCTCTGGTCTAAGTATTTGGTGTCTAACTGTTGTTGTTTCTGATCTTTACTAAAAAAGTGATTTAGTTATATTTACCTCGGGATAAGAGATAATGTATGTGATTAAGTCCAATATTATCCATGTTATATTATGTAATTTAAATAAAATAGCGATTTCAGATCACTGAGTGCATTTCAGCAGTAAATAATAAGATATCAATCTCAAATTCCAGCTTATTTTGTTTAGAATCACCATTTATATCACTATACACATAAACGTTAGGATATTTAGATCGTTATAGGAGTCAATAAGATCAGTTTATATATTTTCTTTACCACACAATTGGTGTATATTGATCAAAATGACAATATTTAGACGATTAGCCCTAAAATAACCTGAAATAATGATTTCGCAAACAAGTAATGTTTGATTAAGTAGTAATGTTTGATTTACAAGTTTTTTTAAATAAAAGAAATAAAAACTAACATAAAAAAACACTAAAACTTTACACTTGACACTTGTTACTCCGAGGTTAGTGTGATGTAAAATGATTTAAGTTCCATAATATCACTATACACTAATACAAAGTTTTGTGCTAAGTGATTTAATTGTGTTAATTATTTAATTTAAAATAAACTACATACATTATTTCCAAAACTGGTTATCTCCAATTGCAAGTTTTTTTTACTTCAAATGCGATTACCCAATAATCGCTATTTTCGAGTTAGATCAGTTTTCATTAAACGCACAGAATTATGGGACGACGTATAATTTGCTTAGAGGAAATCAAATCTCAAAAAAGCTTGGAATAACTTAAGGATTATAGATCTTACCAGGGGCATAATGAGCTTTTTTCTTTAATTGCAATTTAAAATAGATCTTTTAATATATGAAAATCAAAGTCCTATCACCTGTTTTGAACTTTTTTGCGGTGGATAGTAATGAAACAACTTCAACAAAATAATGAAGCTTCGAAAATTAATTATTCTCATATTAAAAGATGTGTTATACAGTATCAATCAATACCTGCTACGTAATCAAATTAAGTAAGATTATATTAGTTAAAATAGTAAATTAATACTGACCCATCTTTACTAAAGTTGATGTGACTAAAGTTGCATCAAGTAACCACCTTTTAACTTTATTTATCTGCAGTTGCAGTTGCATATCTCCAGGACATTGCTCCGTCTTATCTTATTGAGTCCTTTAAATAGCATATAATTTATTTATTTCCTGACTTCAAATCTAATGACATTATCGCCTTCTAGTGAGACACCAAAGACGCTTGCACTGTAAATTACACAGGATATTAATTATTGGGACTCGCAATGTTGACATTGATTGTCAACATTCACGATAACTAAATAAACGTACCATCGGTCAAATATTAAATATTCCAAAGGAAACGTCTATCACTATGCAGAAGGCAATCGTCAACATTTATTTAGATTGATTAGTTTTAAATATAACATCGTAGTAAACGACTTTAGACCATAATCTAAAATGGAATTTTCCTAAAAAGGCGGTCGATGAAATAACTCAACAATAATCAAGACACAATTCAATGTCTGCTTGGTCTGCAACGTTACAAATTTGGATAAAAACGATATGCTTATAATATAAAATAGATTTGTGAGGCTGTTTTGTTGGTTCTGTTACAAATGTTTTGACACTTCAAAAAATATTGTATGATATTCAGCATAGCATGGTCAAAGATGTGTTTTTTATTATTATACGCAAAACAAAAGCTTATGTGGAGGAGGAGCGCATTGGCAGATTTGGCAGTAGTAAGCGCATTTGGTCATCGATTAGTAACTATTTTTACTGGTATTTATTTTTGGTATTTTTGATCCCAATCAGGGATGATGACGCAGTAAACAAAATTATACACATTAAGTCCATTTAGTTACATTATCAAACAATAATGGACAGTTGTTTTTATTTTGTCATTAAACAAAAAAAGTACAAGGATAAAATGCGTCAAAGTTTGGGAGCGGGGGCTCGTGAAGTCACTTCTAAGTTAAAATTGTACCAATACGTGACGTCAGGCGACTTTATAAATCAATATATATCTGTAATGTTTTCATTATGTGAAATAATAATAAATACGTGTTCAATACTTTATGATGAACCAAAAAAAGCCCCAGGAAAAAAAGTTAGTCCTCCGTTCTTTGGAAGGCACGTTAAGCCGTTGGATTCTGGCTGCATGCATTTGCAGTTAGCACCCACTAACCCGCACTTGGCCACCATGAATTGTTTAGCTCTATATTCCTATTCTATCCAAAAGGCTGTCCTGTGCTCTAGTAGTAGGGTTTATAAGATACAGATTCATTTTCTTATTTAAAATTAAAATCGCCTTCAAATCATATCCAATATCTGGATAGATCGATCCACGCTAATGCAATCATACGCAAAAGCAAGTATTTTCCTGAGTCGACTGCATGGTTTAAGATGCGGTTTTAATTAAAAGCGTTGATCGTTTTGATCATCCGATAGTAATTAAATATCGCTAGTAACTGGATCAAGGAAAACTGGTTAATATGTTTGTGTCAGCCTACAATTTATAGATTTTGATACACTAAAGGAATTGTTTCTATAAGTATATAGTAAGTACCTTAGTATAACATTAGATAGCGCTTACGATAATATAATGTTATACATCGACAGATCAGAACAATGGATTTGCTATATACCTACAAATCGTGCATATTATATATCCGTCTTGTAATTTACAAACATAAAGCATGAAATCTATGATGCGGTAACAGATTATGGTACCTATATGAATAAATTAGACTTTAATGTAAGGAAACACGATAGTAGATTTTGTGCCGAGTGTAACGGATTAGAAACAAAAGTTTCAATTATTTTAACTTTCTCGTAGCGTAGTGCTTATGTAAGTAAGTAATAGGGTTTCGATTCTGGGGCAGTTAAAAATAATTTCAGCTGTATACAAAACTGATGTTGTCTCTTTCTTATCTTTAGAATTTGGTAAGACTACAAGTCACTGTAATTATTATTAAATTGAATGCTTTGAGTGAAGCCGTTAATTGATGTTTGAACTCAAGCAATAATTATGTACCTTTAGATAATGACACAGATTTTCAAGAGTTTATGTTTAACCAGTTAGGTGACGAAACTTGGAATGTACCTAACTAAAGTGATAATAATATGTCTTTTAGAAACAAACAATCAACTATAATTGAATTAAGCTAAGGAATATTTTCAATGGATGCTGTTGCTTGTTTTAGATAAAATCTCATATTTTATTTTAATTGAAAGTGGAGAAAATCATTGAATACCATTATGTTGACTTTCATGAGCAGATGTAACTTTGACGATTATTGGACAGAATAATTTCGATAATTAGTTTTATCTACTGATTAACAGACAACCGAGCTAGACAAACGGCTATTGTGGCGATGTGTAATTAAATTAGTATGACAGTTTATATTAAGGTCTTCTGCAAGAAGTTTGAGAAATTATTATCTATGGTTTGTGTTATCTAAAAATTATGATATATATTAGACTTATACTATAATTTTGCCGAAACTAAAATTATACATAAAAGACAAAAGATATAGTTAAGCAAAGGTACTCGAGCAAAAATGATAAATTATATCATAAAAATTTCCTACTGATATTAAATAAATGTAAGTTAGTATGTTTTTTACTCAATCAAGCAAAAACTACTGAATGAATTTAATGGAATGGCTTGGCTTATAGTTTATGACCTGGATTTAGACATAGGATACTTTTGATCCCGGAAAAATTTTATGTTTCTGTGGGATTGTCAAAACCTAAAGTATATTAACTAAAGTTACTAAAAAGAGATGAAATATTTAAAAAATAGGCAAGTACCACATTAAATCTTGGTTATTATGTACTATGTAACTGTATTGAATACAGTTTTGAAGCTGTGGCAATATAACCTAGGTCCCGCTTACAGCAATTTTGCTAATCTCAATTTAACTAATACTTGATTAATCCCTCAATGATGTCAAATTGACATTAACGTTTTGTAATTTTTCTAAGGGCTTTATCTAATTTTCGTTGAATCGAGATTAATCTCGATTGCTTAAGCAATATTTACTGCAAGTGAGCTTTGGCCTTGAATATTGAAATAGCTATCCTTTTGAAAATGGAAGACAAATTATTTTTGTGCGATGCGTATGTATATGAATATATCATGTTTAATATAGTTTTTTTACTCATACATTTGTGTTTAATAGGGAAACATGTATATAAAAAAGACGAATCATTAGGACACTCTATTGAAGAAACATCTCCAATAAACCGTGGTGCATTTGGTAGTAATGCAATAAACATCGAGTTGTTAGTAGACCCCGAGCTGCCGTATCTTACATCTCAGATATGCATCGAAAGAAAAAAAACTAAAATAATAAAATAACAAACTATCATCTGGTCGAAAACTGGTTCCGAGCCGGCGGATGAGGCGGACCGATAGACATAAACAGGCAAAAGGTTGCTTTTTTATTGCTTGTTGGACAAGGTTAAAAGGAATTGAATGACGCTTCCAGCCGGGCGTGGAGTTAAGCAATTGCGGTATATTATAGACTTAACCTAATGTGACATGTTTATAGTCAAGTACTGCATCGATGATTCGCTGATTTAAGAGTATCAGGTAAAACCTTTCTCTTGTCATTCACTATTGTAGTAACATCGACATCATCAGAAGTTGTTATTATATTTTAATACCTATATCAAAGTAATGTGTTTAGACAGCAAAAATAAATATGTCTTACCTCTACAGACAGCGATCAGGCATGCCGGTGGAAACAAAACAATTTCGCCACACAACAAGAACTGCCCGCAAAATCGTCGGAATTTTAGCGAAAATACGTTCAACTATTGTAAAGTCACTTGTGAAAACGGAGCCTTTTCTACTTTCTTAGCAGATTCACTACACTTTCTGTCACAATGCGACTGAAGAGATCAACTTTTGATGTTATTATTCTGAATGGAGTGCACGCAGTTGTAATACGGACGGCCGGCGACGTCCTAGTGTCGGTCGCTTGTATTGTATCATACGAGTAAAGAAGGTACAAAGGCAAAGCTTTACGCAGTGCAAATGTGTGAGTGAGCACTTGCAGCCAGTAGCCGCCAATAAAAACGTTTCCTTGCGTATGCGATAGGCCACCAGCGCTCACTTGCACACGCGCATTATTGTATGAAGCTTTGTCTCTCTCTATGCCTTCTTTATTCATGTGGCTGTATACTGGTGTGGGTTGGTTCAGAGTGCTCGGGTCCCTTCGGCATTTTTCGGGTTCATTCGACTCCTGAGGGGGTGAGCGAGCTTCCGCTACTTTCAATGGAGGGCACGAAAGTTTTACTGGTAGTAAAATTAAATATTGATAGCGCTTTCGTTTCGACCGCAATTTTTAGAAAAGTTGCAAGTTGACGGATTTTTTTACGATTTATTAAACGGTTGTATTTCAATGAAAAATTAAACTTCAGCTTTGTTATAATTGCTAGATACTTTTATAAATGGGGAGATTTTTATTCATGTAGGAATAACGCTTTGTTTTAATTTTAACCGTTCTAAATCAAAAATTGGCTAGTTGTAAATAGTTCCTGCGACTGTGTCTTTTATAACACATTTATCTTCCATTGTATTTACTGACTGCGCTGTAGGAAAAGTTTTATTTCCTTATATTCATAAATATGATTTTTTATATACTAAACATGAAAAATATGGGTTCCTCTTTTCATCCTGTTTGTTTTCTATTTTCGTAACATGAAATCCAATGTAAGCCTATTCAAAAATTCAGTATGATTGGTTCAGTGGCTGTGGCGTGAAAACTCATCGAAATTTAGAATAGTATTCTACATTACTTTCATACCAACGGCCGCCTGCGACTTCGTCCACGTTAACGTAAATTTTTTTGGCGGGATAAAAAGTATCAAAGGTCCATTAACTATACGCGTACCAAAGTTCATCCAAATCCGTTCAGTAGTTCTTGCGTCATGGAGTAACAAACATAAAAACTTTCACATTTATAATATTATTAGTAGGATTGGAATCATACTACGTGATGGAAAGAAAAAACTCATATAAAAATAAAAGACATGAATTGACGTAACTGTGCGAAATGGCGTCAACACTTCAAGAGACTTAGCCATGTGCGCAGCCTCAGATAAAAAAAATTGTGTCTGTTCTATGACTGAAAAGATATGATGCGACTTTTACATATTTTTTTGTTCTGTTTGCGCATCAGTTTGTGGTATGCATGTGGTACCACACAGCATCATAGCACTACCATCGATCACTGTCAAACCAACGGGATATACAATTTATTTTATAAATTATCCGCCTCATTGGAAATACTATTTTCTGTCTGATTAAATTGATAAAAAGAAGGTGATTAGGTATAGACACACAAAATATGTGTAAGATTAAGATTACATAGTTTAGTTAGTACATATTAAGGTTTATCATTTGTTAATTTAACTATAGTATATTACTTTATGCTGTTTTAGTTAACGTGTATGGTCTATAATTGTGGAGATTAGGAAGTTTTTAGGGTTTTGACAAGAAATATAAATTGTCTTAATTCCTATATACACCTTTCATTTCTTTTTCCTTCTTTTTTCACATTTTTTCGAACCATCTCCTCCACTTTAATTCTTCTTTACCCATAAGGACTTCCTGACTTCATCTCGATGCAATTTTGGATTAACATATTCGGGAATATTCCATACTAATTTATTTCATTTTGCTGGGTGAACCAACGATTTCACAAACAAGAAAACAAAAACGTTATTAACAACAGTTAACCAATTAAATGTTCACATTAGGAACTTACTAACATAATAAATCATTAAGCTCGCAGATTAACGAAATAACTAATACTATCAGAATAATTAAAAATAATTATTTTAATATAATTATATAATATGTAACGATTATATTAATTTTAAATCACTTTACTTAACCTGTAAAAATAATTATAGAACAGCTTTGTTTTAATTGTTCTATGAAGGCGTTTGCTATTTGCACGGGTATGTTAGCAACTATAGATTATTATTTTTCTTTACTTCCAGTTCAATATATATAGGAGATCTTTGTCTTTTTGGTTGTATTTAAGTTATTTGGAATTTCATCAAATGAAATAACTTTTTTTATTTTTATCAATAGATACAGTTCCCTTGTTGTGATACTTGTTTTTAATATTCAGTTAATATAGTGAACCTCGTTATGGTGTTTAGAGAATTATTTCGCACCTCTTTTTCCCATTTCTATTTTATTCACCAACATTACATAAATAAACAAAACAACTGTAAAAAGTCCAACAATGCTTCAACAGACAGAATTGTGATAATGAATACAGTATAAAAATCTGTGAAACGAGGTCGGCCATGTTTGAACAAGGAACAATCAAAAAGTGCTGGAAACTTTGTGGAATTCAATAAAGCGGGTAGGAATGAGTTGATGAATCTAGCTAGACTCGTTAAAATGCTGGCTTGATTGGGTTTGATCTTTGCTTTATAAAACCTTAATTAATACTTTATTACAAGCCTTTAGTGCTGCAAGCGTATTCACCGTGTTGAAATTTTAATGTCTAGTTGAATATTATAGTAAGTAAATAAGTTTTTTTTTTATTTTTTTAAGCATTTAGCTGTTGTTGATGCACTGACCTATTATGCTTCCGCGGCTTTAATGGTTGTGTCAAATTTTTAAATAATACTAACTTTTGGTGGTGTTATGTTTCTGTTGGTAAGTAAGGTTTCAAGGCTCCACGGGGTAGGGGATTGGGCAGGTTAGGCAACGGTGCGAGTGATATTTTTGGTATCGCAAGCGTCTAAAGGCTTATGGTGGCTGCTTCAGGTGGGCCATACGTTTGTTTGCCACCCTTTTTTACATGAAAAAATACAATGTTTACAAAACATAAACGTTAATTTATTTGACGTAATGTCAACGTCACATACTAATTGATTTACAAAGTTAACGCTGGACTTGTAGACCAGCCTCTTTATATAATAAATGACAGAAAAGCAAACCGACCACATGGTAGTAGCATTGCTCACTTATAAGGACAAATTTCATCCAAATGATTACCAGCTCTAAAGCTTTTCTAAACAAGTATCTCAACCAACCAAATCCAATACGGCCGGCCGTTACGCCTGAAAGGAAACTCCTAATGGATATTCCACTATTCAACGTAGTCGAATGACTGATGGGTTTGCGTTAACGTAACACTGACTGCCGACTAACCCTACCACGTCCGCGTTATGTCGGCAAATACAAAACAAAAGAATAATCGAAACGCAGCATTTATAAAAACATTGAATGTTTCATTATTCTTGTAGGCGCATGGATATAAACATTCAAACAATCTTAAACGAAATAGGTAGGTTTATACTCAAAGGTTTTATAATAAGTTTCCAATATTATCTACCTAGCCTACAATTGCTTTGTAGAAAATATTGGAAATAGTTCAAGCCTTAGCAGTTATGTAGGCCAATTTTATAGTAAGCGCTATGGGGGTGCGTGTGTTATTGTGAAATTAAGCAACTTTTTAAAAGTTGGACGGTAATTTAAATGTTGACCAAATAGTCTTGTGCTCCTCAGAGCTTCAGAAGGCACGATGAACTTGCATACACCAATCCACACTGGGCTTGCATGGTGCTGGTTCGTCATGGCCTGTTCGGATGACAGGCCTTCCCTTCCCTTTAATGCACGAAATTCTATATTACCTCTGCCCCAGCAGTGAATACATTAAATGGCTTATGATGAAGTATTCAATCGCATTATTTGATTTTATATTAATTGAGAAATAGCTTTTATTAAATATTATGTGAATTAAAAATTATTACAAAACGTTTTGTTGTGTTACAGTTTTTATTGCTACGAAATCTATTAAATTTTCGCAATCTTGAACGAAATATGAAAGCAAAAGTAAATTCTTACAATAGCGGCAATTTCATGAATGACAAAAAAGTGGCAGAATGAAGTTATCACTGTAGTGACAATGGCCACGGCAGTTTCGCAAAACCTTAATACAGTAATGATAAATATTGAAAGCAAAATGTTATTTTTTTTCTGTGAACGTGTTCGCTATTATGGCAACATTATTAATCTGTCAACAACCTAATTTATTTTGACGGTTTTTATATCCTTATCTGATTGATTTTATATAGAAAAATAGGATAAAATTAAGCTAAATAAATAAGGCAATAATGGGTATATTGAACAGTTATATACTTACGTACTTTATTTTCTTTTATGATTGCACTTTTCTTTAAGGCTAAGAGTAATAGAATCATTCAGTCTTTGTGGTTATTTTTTATAAGTATTAATAGGGTTTTTGACAAGTTTTGGAAAACGATCTTACGCAACTTACTTATGTTTATGGAGTCCATAAAAAGTGGATATTCATCATTCTCTTGTGGTTTTCAATAAAAATAAATAAATCAAAAACGAAATTTTCAAGTTGCCGTAAAAACGTTTCTCTGGGCGTCTCACTGGCGTGTGACGTCACACGACTGTCATTAAAACGTCAAACGATACAATGTAATGTCACTTTCACTGGAACTTTACTAGTGTGTGACGTCATTTTAGGCTCCGCCAATCCCAGGCGTTTTCAATCACGTGACAATAGATATGAAAATTATTATCTTTTTCGTGGGTTTAAAATTATGAATATTTTTTTTTGTAATAATAGTAAAAAACCCCTGCCAATATTCATTTTAAATACAGATGCTAATAATTAGCACTTTATTTTTAAAACAGTCAAATACCCTATTGGTATGGTTGTTCCTTTTGGTATATTATAATTATTTAAAAAAATGTTTCATCAATCTTAGGCCCTGCCAGAATTGTCAGCGCTGCAGCAGCCCTGGTGTTGCTGTAGTATTAAACTGAGGCAGGGACCTACTTGACCTATCTTACTTTGTTTTATTTACGTAAACATCATTGTCTTTCAAGGCTCATAAAATTTCTATCTTCTTATAACTACGTACATTCAACACAATAAAAGAGCTAAGTATGAAAGGGAATCACAATCGAGT